TTAAATCCAAGGAAACTACACCGATTAAATACTTAAACTAACCCAATGAAATCAATTAAACTCAAAACAATCGGTCAAAAACCTCAATTCCATCACAACTTAGAAAATCCTAGGGTTCCACCAAAAATCCTCAGAAATTCCAAGAAATTCCAAGAAAGAAAGAAGATTAGAGGTTAAAATCACTTACTTGAGGTAATGGATCCTTAGAAATGCCCCCTCCAAGCCAAAATACCGAAACCCTAGCAGAGCCTCTCTCTCTACCTCAGATTTTCTTATTTTTCGCACGCTGAATTGCTCCCACGAATATATAGATTCGCGACCTTTCGCCGCGGCGAACCAATCCCGAGAGGGATTACTCGCCTGAAAACCTGACTTCGCCGCGGCGAACCCCAATCTTCGCCGCGGCGAAAGCTTCCCGAAAGGGAAGCCTCGCTCACCTGAACAACTTCGCCGCGGCGTCCCCTAGACTTCGCCGCAGCCAAACCTTCCCGAGAAGACACTCCCCTCTGAAACTCCCGGTGCGCCGCGGCGAACATACCCTGAGAGGGGTACGTTCACCTATTCCTCCAACAAACCTCAAATCCAACCCAAACACCAAGATCAAGATTAAATCACTAATCTATCCTCAAAATCAATCCAAAAGAGGCTATTAAAACCCGATAAAACTTAGGATGTTACAAAAGGGAATTAGCTTGGTCAACTGGGAAGAGATGTGTCTACCCCGGAATAGTGGAGGAAGTGGCCTCAGGTTAATGAAATCTCAAAATTGTGCTTTCCTAGCTAAGCTTGGATTCATGCTCACAAGCAAACCAGATCTTTTATGGGTTAGGATTCTCAGAGCCAAGTATGGATGGCACCCGCTAACAAAACCCACTTTCAAGACCAACTCTTGTTCGCACACCTAGAGGAGTATAGCAAAAACTTGGCTGGAAACGTATCTGGGTATAAAATGGAACCCAGGTGATGGGTAGCAAGTAAAGTTTTGGAAGGATAATTGGATAGGCAAGCTAGGCCCACTCAAGAATTTAGCCTTCTCAGACATCAATGAGAACCAAATGGGGGAAACCATTCAGGAATACATAGATGAAAGTGGTCAATGGCGTTAGCACCTTTTTCAAGAAAAAATCCCCAGATCTGTAAATCTCTTAATTGCCGCCACACCCCCTCCAAGGCCAGGCGATGGGGATGCTAGCTGTAGTTGGAGTCTTAGCTCCAATGGAACCTTCTCGGTGTCCTCAGCATATCAAGCAATGGTAGATGACCTTGGGAATGATCAACAGGACTGCTGGAAGCTCATTTGGAAATGGCCAGGGGCTCACTGAATTAGATCCTTTCTTTGGCTAGCCTACAAAAATAAGTTGCTTACGAATGCAGAGAGGAAGCGAAGGCACCTAACTCTAGATGGGACTTGCGAAACTTTGTAGATCTGAAGACAAAGATAGTAACCATGTGTTCCGTTGTTGCCCCCTCGCTGTAGCATGTTGGAAAATGATCGTACCAGAAAGCAAACTCACTCGATTCCTCCACATGCCTTTACAGAGCTGGTGGACCCACAATATTGACCCCCGTCGCACCAACCAAAGATGGACCCTGCTATTTGGTATTATTAATTGGAAGCTGTGGGATGCAAGGAATAGACGCCTCTTCGCTGGAGAATCTTTCAGGGCATCTGAACTGTTAGCTAGCTCTGATGCTTTTGTTAATCACACTATCAGAGCTAGAACTGTTAACGACATCGTGAGGCTGCCTCACTGACATCTTTTACTCTGTTTTCTTTTGGCTTTCTTGGCAGGCTTTGTCTTGTTGTACATATCTTGTATCTTGTTGACTCTCTTCTTTGAATAATACTTCCCTTTTCATTCAAAAAAAAAATATCAATGATCATTCACCTTTTGGCTCAAGGTTCAAGCTCAATGGTGTGTTTGGATATGACAATAATATTTTGAAGTGAAAGTTCTTAACCAACATGAATATGACAATCAAATAAAGGATTCATCAAACATCTTAAATTTCCACCTAACACAGCAGTGAAAGGTGTGTATGTACTCCTCGCGTTTATAATATAAATATAAACTCAATTAATTAATTTGATTAAATTAAAAAAATGAAATAAATTAGTTAATTATAAAAAATATGACAGTTTTTTTAAATATCATGATCATCTTTCTCAATATCTTTCTTTTCTCTCTTACTTGATTATGTTTGATGAAGTATCGACAAGGATAATTTAAAAAAATTAATAAATATAATAAATAAGTAGATTAATTCAGCAATTAAGTCCTACATGAGAGGAGTATGTGATAAGCAATTTTTTTTTATTAGAAACAATTCTGTTCTACCTATACACTAAGTGAATAAGTATGAGCATCTCAACAAGAATTCAGGCTTTGAGGATATTTAGATGGAATTAAAACTATGGTTTTAAAAATACTTTTACAGTATACAGAATAAATATATAGAGTAGTTTATCTCGATTTGTGAAATATGGTACCCAAACACCCCCTCTAACTAAACCCTTCGCGTGTTATTTTTATTTTTATTTTTTATTAAAACATATGTATCTTCCTATTGGAAGTAATCCTATTCAAAACACTGACAGGCACTAAATGTGGGCACTTCTCTCAGTAGAGATTCAAATATTGATTCGTTATGTTGTGAGGGACTAACCCCTTCTACTAAATCTAACCCCCAATGGTCCCTTCGTGTTTTGAGTCTAAATTGTTTGTAATTATGCTTATTGGGTCTGGTATTCTTTGGTCATTGGTGGATCTGACTTCTATGGAGATCTTCATCTGTGGTCTTGAAAAATCTTTTGGGCTTGGGCCTAAATGTGAAAGGGCAGTTGGTCTTCAATTTGGAAATGAGTGATTAAAAATTACATGAAAAATTGAGTCTAATAGAATGAACTAATACTTGTACTTAGTAAGAAAAAAAAAAGTAATTAAATTTTTTTTAACTTTCCTTTTTCAGCCTAATTTTCAAATATTTGAGATTTGAGATTTTTCGTAATCACTCACACTTTCTTTTGCCAGGTAATCACCGACACACCCATTATATCTTAACAAAGATTGATATTTATTTATTAAAGCCAGGTTGTTTATTTAATAATGAATTTTAGGGTTTTATACATAACATAAAAAATTTAAAATAAAAAATTTAAATTAAAAATGAAGGCCATCTAGATAAATGGTATATGAATATTAATTTTAGAAAAAGAACCTCACATGAAAAAGTAATACAAGGTACACGTACATCCTTAAATTTTTGACGAGGGACATACATTCTTAATTAAATAATCATCAGCAATGAATTATTATATATGCAGTAAATTTCATAAGAAGCCAATGGCTTATGAATAGTAAGGATTAAGGATTGTTTTGGTCTCAAATATTCAAAAACAAGCAAATAATGTCTTGTATGTTAATTGGAACGTTCAATTCTGCCCAGCATTGGTATAGTAGGGTTGTGTTTATGAGTCTTCCATTTGTTTTTCATGTGCATGTTATGTAGGAATTAAATAAGAGCATTTTTGGAAAATAATATTGAAGACTTAATTTGATTTAAATTTTTTATAGGGTACTTATTTATAGTGTTTTGATTTATTTATTTTTACATAATTTTGTCAAAAAACAAACAGTAAAAACAACTTATGTCTAATGAAATGGTACCAATGCATTCTTTTTATTACTCTTTTAGAATATGATTGAGTTATAATTATAATTTGTTCTGTTTTGGGAAAAAAAATAAAATTTGATTTATTAAGTCCCACTCAAATAATTCAAACCAACAACCTTTCAAATTTTAAAGTAACTATGCCCCAGAAGCGATATAAAGTATCTAGATCCTTCCTTTCTTTGGGTACACTTTTTTTTTTGGGGGTCATCCTTTGAAAATAATGACCTAAATATAAAGAATGAGTATTATTCATAATTTCTTTTTCTATGTATAGCTATCTTTTTATTAACAGAAATTCTATTTGAGATACTGTCAAGTATTAAATATGAACATTTCTCACAATAAGAATTAAAACTTTGGCTTATCACATTATAAGAGACTAGATACTTTCACTAGACTTAACTCTAGTTGATTATTCCTGATTGTTCATTACCCTCAATTCAACCAAATATCATACCACTAGTTCATAATACTACTACAAGAATGAGTTAGAATTTAGACTTAGTTTTAAATATAATAACTCAATTCATTTTGCCTCTTAAATTTATATTTTTTTAAAGCATTATATTGATTGTACATATCAATCAAGGGGTTCCTACTAAAAAGTACATGATTAAATACAAGAGCTTATAAAAACCAACCCATATTTATTATAAATAATTAAATTAACTAATTTAAATATTTTTTTTAATATGTATAAATTAGTTATCTAATTTTTAAAAGTAGTGAATTTTTGTTTTTGACCAATTAAGAGTAGTAGATGAAATTTAAGGGGGGAAAAAAGAGGGGGCAAAGAAAAACATACATAACAGAAATGACACAGGAACAGAGCATAAAAACCTCAACACATATGTCCTTTCTTTTTCATTGCCAATCCCAAGAACCACCTAATCAATTTCTGACAAAGTGATCATTCTAATTCCTAAGTTTTCTTAGACAGCTGTCAGATACCATCCCCATACAATTTCAAGGATTATAAATTTTATAATAATTTATATACATTAGATATATTACTAATACCAATAATGCCTCGTTATATATTAATAAATAATTTCATTCCCATAAACGATCTCCTGTCCACCATAATCGCCTTTTCAAAAAGGCTGAACTCAATCATGCTCAGCTTGCATTCACAACCTCTCACAATCATGGGAAACAGATCCTCTTTCAGATTTGTTCTGCACAAAGACGTCATTTTTCCTTTTTAACCCCACAGCTTTACTCATAATTACAACCCCCTCCTCCTCTCAGTCCTCTGTTTACCATCTGGAGGTAAAGTTATTCTGCAATTCGTCTCTCTCATTTTTCCCTAACCGACATAGAAATTTTAATCACTAAGATTTAAATACCATCATGATTAATTAATTAAAACATGCATCTAAAAAATTTACACATTTTCTCCAAAACTTACATCTAACAACTCAGACCAGAACAGGGTACTCTGTTTTCTTGTTTTCACAGGAACACAACCCTTTTACAGGACCTAAAGCTGGTACACACGCTGAATCGCAACGAATTGAGGAGACGTACCCCTCATATCCGCCGGAATATTGTGTCTCCGGTCACCGGAAAATCACGGAACACGAACTACCTCGATCTGCGCTTACCAGGCCTTGTCCTGTTTCCTTTGCCCCCTGTTTTCCCAAAAGCGCCGCAACATCCACAAGCAGAGAGCTTCGGAGACGGCGGCTCAACCGCCGGAGACACTTTTCCGGTCCGGTACCCCCTTCCACCGCCGTTGGAACGACTCCGGTCAATGGTGTTGATTGGTGGGAGGCTGGTTCCTGCGTTAAGTTCTTTAACCTCAGACTTTTCACGGTCGTCTTCTTGTTGCTCGTGTTCATCCTTCTGGTTGGCTTTGTTCAACTCTTCCGATAAGAACCTGTCGTCCCAGACAATACCAGACGAGCCTTGTCTTCTGAAAGAGACTGCAGATCTTTGAAGGCCAGCCATGGAAAGGGATCTTTGGAGGCTTTTTGAGAAGGTGGGTTGCTGATTTTTATTACTATTTTGTGTGTGGGGAGGGGGAGGGGCAGAGAGAAGAAGAAGAAGAGAGTTTTTGAAGAAGGATAGGGAAGAAAAGAGAAGCGGTTTGTTCTTTATATGGGGAAGGTCAGGGAGGTCTTTTGCAATATTGGCGACGAAGTCAATGTGCTCTGCCCTCATGATCTTTAGCTGGTTTCACACTTGGGTAGGCAACAAAATAAATACTTGTGATTCTTCCGGATAAAATACATGTCCCTAAAAAAAATTAATTCTATTTTTAATTTGATTTTTAAGTCTTAACACTCTTAAAACTTAATCTCTAAATTCACTGGATGTAACTCAATCTTTATAATTACAAGTATGTTAAAACTTTATGATTTGAGTTACAACAGAACGAAAACTACATGGATAAACCTTTTTTTTCCCCTTCATGAATTTAAGTTTTTTATTTAAATTGAAACACCTCATATCGAAAAAATCATAAAATATACTGTACTGAATTTTGGCTAATTAAGTTAACTTGGATATAATCGCGAGCAAAACTTTCCTATAAGTTTGAAAATATAAAGTATTTTAGGGTTTGTGAGGAGTAATTAATGAGATTTTTTGAAAAAAAAAAAAGGTCCTTAATAAATATCTAAAATTAATGATATTTTCGTATTTATTTGTAGGTTATTCTATCAATATAAAGATAAATATGAAAAGTGTACGTAGTTTTTGGATGATGCTAATCAACAAGCGAAAGTTACTTAAAAATATTCTTTAGTTTTAGGCAGATGGAGTATCTAAGATTCAAATTTGAGATCACTAGTTAAACCATCCTACCCTCTTACCAAAAGGAAATGTTTATTCATTGGTATTGAATTTAAGTCTTACGATAATTTAAAAAAAAATTAAGAGAAAAATTATGCAAGGAGGCTTCCCAATTTAAATTTGAATAATACTGGTATCTCACACTAAATTATTTGTTTGAGGGGAAAAAACAAAACTTCCTTTCAGTTGTGAATATTATGCAATCAGTCTAAGTTTTTTTTTTTTTTTACACCGTGGTTCATTCGTATGGCCCCTTCTTTGAAGCAGGAAGATGCTTAAAAAACAAAATTTTATAGTGTAAATTATACTATAAAATGAGTTTTATATTTAAAATCAGAAGTAGTAATTATTTATGTTTGTGTAAAAAGTAAAATAGCATTCACCATACTCATGTATAAGTGTCAAACACCCTAAATTATGTATAAAATTAAGACGGAGCATAGCATCACGAAAGTGTCGAATGCAGCATTATAAATAAAATTAAACTGCTGAATATTATTTTATTAGCAAATGAAATGAAGGTGCTGGATGTTATTTTATCCCATATCTCTGTATATATAAGTTACTGCCTCTGATCCTTAATATAAAAGATAGTTCAACATTTACTTTGATTCTAAATATAAAATTTCAATCTATTTTGTTTTTCATACTACCTCATATCCTTAATATAAAAGCTCATTTAATTTTCTATTTTGGTTCTAAATATAAGACCTTAATCCGTTTTGTCTCTCATATTTATTTATTTTCTTTAAAGGTAGTTTTTATAATAATGATAATTCTAACTAATACACTTGATTAGCAATGATATTTTAAGAAAGACGATATCTATTCATTACAAATAACTAACTTAACTAATTTCTTTAATTTACTCAAATTAGTTAATTAGCTCTTATATTAAGGATTATGGGTAATATTTATCCACCTTTTCATAAAGTAGTATTTATAGTGGTCCTACATGTTAAATGTAATTTTAACACACATTATTCGTAATGATATTTTAGAAAAGATCACATCTATTTAGTATAAATAACTAACTTTTTTAATGTTTTTAAATTAATTAACTAATTCTTATTTTAACGAGGGTACATAAAAAATTGGTTGGTTCTTTGGTGGTCACAACGAGAAAGAAATAGTAAAAGCGATGCGAAGCTAAGATGAGTGAAAGCCAAATACAGGAAATGCAATACGTGTGGGTTTTGATGAAGTGGGAGGAGGCTTTATTATGTTTGTTGCACCGTAACATCATTCCACGTTCATTCATAAGTATGCATCTCATTTATATCAAAAGATTAGCGTCATGTATGACATTATACCTCTTGACAATAATGAACGCGGGCAAAATTTAAGGAATAAAGATTTAATTTAACTTCCGGCAAAATAAAAGATTTAATTCAACTTATGTAAATTTATTTATTTATTTTAATTTTAGCTACTGCTGAATCATATTTGACCATTGTCAGGAGTTTAATTGAAATTAACTTTAATTTTTTTAAAAAAATTTGATAAGGATATTCTCTTTCGGGATTTAAAACATAAATCACTTTTGTCTTTTTCAACAAGCACGTTTTTTAGGATTTGAATTTATATTTTTTTCTTTACAGAAGTAAAGCTGCTTAACACTTCAACTAATAACTTGTTAATGAAAAAGAGTTTTTAAAAGTCACATGAACTTGAGCTTGAAATCCGTAAGTGGTCATAGACACTAAATTTAAATATAAGCAATTTTACCAGTAAGAGTTGGTCTAGTTAGTAAGGAATCGGCTTATAACCCATAAGGTTGTGAGTTTGAATTCTACTGCTAATGTGAGGACCTTGTTGGTGGGCGATCTGTAAGTACCTCTGTAAGCGCTTTTTAAGCCTAGAAGCGTGTCCTGGCCCTAATGAGCTCCCGCGACCCAATTACCTAAACTTTTTTATAACAAAAAAAAAAGAAACAATTTTTGGGACAAACAGAGATATAAAGCATGGACCACAAAAGGCTGGAAAATGGGCATAAAAACGAGAATAGTGACTGGTGAGGAGGTCAGCATGAGGGAATATGAAATGTATAATGTACAGTTGAGGTCCACCAAGTGCATTCTGATTATGACCTTATCATAATCAATAAATGAAAGGCACAAAATGCATTCATGTCCTTATCCCTTTTTCTGTTTTTTTAACCGAAGACAAAATGATATTAAAAGGAAACAAGATTTACAGAGTACATACTGAAAGTAAACTAGCAGAAAATATATTAAAATGATGAATTAAACTTATAATGAGAATAACCATAGGGAAGAGCTAGTATTTCTATCAAGTGATAGGTAAATACTTGATCGGGCGAGCAGGAGATTAAAGGAATCTTTGTCCTTATCTCTTCTCATTATGCAAGGAACTTCACCCCCCCCCCCTTCTTTAACTAATCCTCTCTCACATTTCCCCACTTTCTTCCATTAAATGCCGTCCCATACCATAAATAAGTCCGAGATATTGAAACTCCGATTGATGATTCTGAAGTACTACCTCCGGTTTTTAAATAAAAATCCTGTTTGATTTTTTTTTAATTCTAAATATAAGATCCCAATCCACTTTGTCTCTCATATTTACTCAATTTTTTTCAAGATAGTCCTTCTAATGATTATAGTTTTAGTCAATACACTTGATTAGCAAAGATATTTTAGGAAAGACAACACCTATTTAGAACAAATAACTAACTCAACTTACTTCTTTAATCTCCTCAAATTAGTCAACTAGCTCTTATAATTAAGACCGGAAGTAGTAGTAATTTAATGGTTAATGATTTAGACAGAAATTAATTCATGACTAGGTTGGTTATGACTGAAATCATATCATTAGGACATATTACATTCGATTCTTAATAAGAGTTAGATAACTAATTTAAGTAGATTAAAAAAACTAATTAAGTTAGTTATTTATAATAAATAGATATCATTTTTTCTAAAATATCATTACTAATCAAGTGTATTGATTAGAACTATTATTATTATAATGACTATCTTAAAAAAAGATAAATATGAGAGACAAAATGAATTGATGCCTTATAATTAGGACCAAAATAAAAGTTAAACGAGGTTTATATTAAAAACCAAAAATAGTATAAAATATTCATATATATATTTATAATATTGAAAAGAGTAATATTTAAATAAAAAGATATTAATTTACAGTTAAATAAAACATTAATATATAAAATCATGTATAGTCTAACAAAACATAGTTATTAAATCATAAAGATGAGGGACTGCTTTTTTTTTTATATAAACTTAAAATGATATCATTTTTAGGCTTAATAAGGATAGAGAAAAGATTAAAATTCAACTTAACTAATCTGACAAAAACTCTTAATAAAATTGATCAAAGAATTGGTTCACCAGTTTATTGGTGGAACACTCAAAGCTGATCATAATAAGTTGGATTTTAATATCATGAATAAATCTCCATCTTTAATATGAACGGAATATTTTGACCAAAAAAAAAAATGAACGGAATATCTTTTGTGTATTTCTTTTGTCCTCGTTGGCTAATCACCAAACCAGTCCAATGATGTTCACTTTGACCATTTTCAATTCTACTATCAAAATTTCCCCCCCGTTCTTTTTCCCCGCCCACCACTAATGCTTCCTCCAAAAGATTCTAGAGTTCTCTATCCGTGACATTTGACTAAATAATATTTATGATCAATCATAAAACTTGATTTATTTTGTTACATATATTTGAACAGAAGGCATGGTCATAGCATAAGAAACACTAAAAAAGGACAAAAGACAAAAGAGAACCTGTGTCATGCGTTTATCAACCTCATGCGTTTCTAACTAGCCAATTTGACTTTTCTATGAGCATCTTCAAACTTAAAATTCCAATCCAAACCAAAAGCAATCTAATCTCATATATTATTTAAAAAATGGGTTAACTCCTTCATGTGATTGCTAACTCAACGAAGTCAAGTGGGCAGTAATGCTGAGCTTGAATCAAATCTTACAGGTCATACTAACTGAGAAACACAAACATTGACAACAAACAATATCAATTAGGTTTGGTGCGCCAAACATCATCCAACTGAGTAAATTAGGTTCATAATGAGGGGAGTATTGAAAATTTGAAATTGGTTGAGCGACTACATGATTGGAAAAAAAAAAACAAGAAAATGAGAGAATTTGGCTAACCAGGTGAAAATTGTTCAAAACAGAAATTTCAACAAATATTTGATAAAAAGTGGCCCTCATCTC